GGCTAAATTTCTTTTTCTAAGAATATTATTTTTATAATGTTTCAAAATCGCATATCTGAAGAACTAAAACAGACCATCGCGAAATTTAAAGCGTGTGTTACTTAGGAATGTACCCTTTACAATATACGTACACTACCGGCCAAAAGTTTCGAATCACCTCCCACTTTTCATCGTTATTAAATCTGCTGCTAATTTTTTATAGATCTGAAGTTTATCTCAATTCTACATTTGTCAATTTATCTCATATCAATTGATTCGAACGATAAAAAATTCTCAAAGTCGCTCGACTTTTTTCTGGAAATTTTTCTGGAAATTCCAATGCTCGGTGATTCCAAACTTTTGGCCGGTAGTGTATATCGAAAGAGAAATGATCCGTACTGTGTAAGTTTTTATCAATTTTTACCAAAATAAATTTTAATTCAACACTGTATTCTCCCCTTTTAACAGTTAACAATTTCAAGCATAATTTCCTACGTATATACATATAGATAAAATCTACAATGAGTTGTGCATACATTATATGTCATATTATTTTTTTAGTAACATTCCTGAACATTTTTATTTCACGTTTACGCGTTAGTTATGGGAGTTTCAGCGTTCTGCGACGGATAACGCTAGGTCATGCCTTCTAGATAGCAACTTATCGTTACTTTCCTTTATTGTTTATTTGCTTCTGACTTGTTGCGACTTCGACGAGAAGTATTTCGTATCGGCTATACACGATACGCGATCGGTTTCGTGATATTTGAATAGAGGTGAATTTTCATTCAGAATTGATCTAATTAATAATTGTACCGACCCAACTTAATACAAGCGAAATGAATGTTTAAGAATAAAATGTGCGATCTGATTTATAGTGATTTAAATAATGTGTCGCATTTAATGTGTTACATTTGGTGATTCTATTTTCGCAAATTTACTGTATCGAACAGGGAAGATAAACGAAAAGTTTCCCTTTTCTTCGAATTGGAATAGAAATTGAATTTTAATTATTTGCTCTAATTCCGTCAGAACGGATATTTCAAGGATGAACTATGTTTCTGTTTTCATTTCTCTCAATGCTTGTTTCAATTTTTCATAGATATAATTAAGGTTATGCAAGCAGTGTAAGAAAATAGAAGTTTTCAGCTTGTATTGCGATTTACTAAAGATTAGCAAATTTTCCCAACGAAGAATGCTTACTTTGCAAACATGTAATTAACCGGCGTAACCTTTAAGAATATGATTCACTGTTTAAAAATATCTCGAAACCTGTAAACGAAATTTTTCTTCGCGCGAATTTCTACGAAAATCTAACATGATAATTCGACGAGTACATATGCACTCGCCTATCCTAAACAATGCGTGTTTCTGTAACTTCCGTTTCGTGCACTCGTGTTCGTGGATGAATTCAACTGTTTAAGTGTCCTTTTTGACTAGAACAATAAATAAACAAATTTGAATAAAATTGAAGTAACATATGTCAGAAACGTTCATCAGGTTTATTTTTAGCGTTTATGTTTCATAAAAAATGTCACCAGTGACTAAGAACGATCAATTCGGTACAGTGTTTTGCAGACAAAGTTTTATCTTTATCTCACCTTGACAATTTATAGAAACGATCGATCATATATCTCTCTAGGTTTTTTTTATGATACATCCCAGGAGTGACAAAGTTGAATGCCACTGAACTTACGTAAATATTCATTACACGGAATCCTTGGATTTTGAGCAGTTGTTCTTTAAATCAATTAACGTATGCAAAACTTTGATAAAGAAATAAAACATATTCCTTACCAAGGAATTTCTTTTCCTTGTCCATAATTTTTGGAGAGAGACGAATTTCGTAGGAAATTAATACACATGACCAGGAAATATTTGTTTCCTCTGACACTCGTTTATCTCATCTCAAGCTAAAGATCAAATCATTCCTATCACTCTCGAATACTTTTTACTTGATTACTCAATAAGTATTACAATAGACATTATTAAATTAATCAGGATAATCTCCATGGATCTCAACTTTCAATCGATTCGTGTTCCATTTCTCTATTCTCAGTTTACGTACAATGTAGTAGGACAGGATTCGTTACAAAGTTATTAGGATCCTAGAAATAGGTACAGTATTTAAAAGTAGATTCTATTGGTGACTTTGAAACGTAGTTAATGCGAAGGACTATGACTTAAACAACGCCTTAAAGATGTACTTTTTATACGTACATGCGTTAAACATACTGAATTATACGTCTTCAAGACGTCCAGGTGAAACGTTCAGACCAAAAATGAACGTAAAATGGACTAAGACGTCGTGTGCCATCTGGATGTATCGTTAGTAAATTTCCAGGGCCGTATTTATACTTTTGTAGCCCTTAGACACAACATCATTTAGGAGGTCTCAAAAGAACAAATCTATTTCAGTTGATCAAAGTTTTGAAGTTTATCGAAAATAAAAGTCTACATTTCCATAATGATCCATTTTAATAAATTAGCGATCTGCAGAAATTTCCGTCGATGTCGACGTCCTGATGAATAGCGGACCCTCATAAATGGCGTTTCCGTTTTCAGCGACCTCTCGTTTTTATATTGTTGTTTGTGAGAAGTAAGGTTTTAAAACATAACCGGCTCTGTAAATTGGCCATATTTTTTCAGCCACACTGACTCATTTTTAGCTGAAAAAGAGAGTGTAAAATTGATTTACTGGTGAATATTAAGAAAGATATTTAGAAAGAAAATGTACCATTTGTGATCCTTAATTTAGACAGGTGCAAAAGTGGAGTGAATTTAAACAAATTGTACGATTGAAATTTTACTGATTATATTTTATAAAATTCTACTTGTACAGGATTTCACATTACAGTGCATTCAAAGTGGAATACAAATTTTTACTATGAAAAATATGTTGAATTCGAATTTTTGATAAAGGTAGAATTTTTGGGAGAAAAGTAGAGTTTATTGGAAAGATGCAAATTTTAAACTACTTTTCCTGTAAAATTTTCATTAATTCGGTTGTCATTATCAACGTTAAGTAGCGATACATTTTTACTGATATGTGACAATACTTTCTATACCAACATAACGGTTGTCCTAATAGTTACGAGCTGCAATGTATGTTTTGTAAACATTATTGTTTTACAAGATCAATTCACGTCTTACGTAGGATTCGCTCTTAAGGAAAGCTTCTAGTCTAAAGGATTGAAAAACACATTTTATATTTTGTTTACTAATTTGAAAGGAAAAAGAGCCACTCTACGTATCAGTTATAATACTTCCATAATACATATGTAATCGCGAACGACAGTGTGCGATTAAAACGAGCTTGTTTTAGAAAGAAGAAACATTCTTCACTCTTTCATCCTCCTTTCTTCAAAGGAGATCGCGTAAAAATTCATTCTATTGTTGGATCGATGACGAGGAATTGTTCTTTTTAACTTCACACACCGCGAGACGTCGAGTTTTCCAGCGGGGACACCGAGCATCATCAGAGTTTCTACAGTGTCGAAGAGATAGGATGTGGGGTCATGCCTTTCTGATAGTGAATTATCACTGCTGCATTTCTTATTGTTTATTTATTACCGACTCATTACGGCCTAATGGAAGAGAGTTTTATTCACGTGAATCCGTCAACGAACTGTGCATACACTCCACGCTAGGAACAAAGTCGAAAATGTTATTAGGTTCGTGTCATAGGCTAACGTGTCTCTATCACGAAACCACCGAGAAAGTAATGGCTCTATTATTCCTGTACGGTTCGAGGATGATGCAGTTTAGAGTCGCGAATAACTGCACGTTAGAATAGTTTTAACGTTCTCTGCGACGCTTCGTTTATT